GAAGAGCGGATGATGGGCCACTTGGACAGGACGGCGTTGCCGTACTGTGGGGCCCAGCTCTCGGCGAATACGAAGTGCATGCCGAGCGCCGCCGCCAGATCCGACAGCGGCCGCATTTCGTCGGCCTCGTCCGCCTTCACGTCCTGCAGTGCCAGCAAGTCAGCGTCCACCTCCTTCAGCACCTCGAGGATCGTTCTCCTGCTGCTCTGGTGACTCTCGCCGGAGAAAGACACCATCGACCGGAGCTGCGGATTCAATTTTCTGCCGGAGACGTCGCCTTCGTCCTCCCGGAAACTCAGTTGCCGGCTGATCTCGTTGTCCGGCAGATTTATCGACACCCTTAGGCCAACCATGGATCAGGTTGTGAAACTGCTTGAGAGCAATGACATGGCTGTTCCAACTGTACCCGAGCGACCGATCCCTCTGGTAGCTCGTATGGAGGAGATCACAAAATCCATAAGTAGCAGCAGCGGGTCTGGAAAGCTGTCGAGCCCAACGGGTTATCAGGCATTCTCATTCGGATGTGAAGGGTCTTCAGGAAATGGCCAAGAAGCACCAGTCTAAATGTTTCACGCTAATATTTTTTTGCTGCATAGAGCTAGAGAGATGTCCTGTCTTTCTGAAGGCTGGAACAGGGGCAAAACGAAACTTGTAAATAACAAAGTGTACATTCTTCCCATTCTTTTGTGAGCATATTTATTGATTCTGTTTTTTTTTATATATAAATGAATTTGTGTTTCTCTCTGAGTTCGTATGGGTTGGTGATTGTCGTTACTCATTTTACAAGGAATCCGAGTGATTCTATGATGTTGTTTCAAAAGAATTTCGACCAAGGCGCAGCCGAATAAGATGTGATGCAGATCAATATTGCACATGCATTTTCGAGAAAAAGCAGGCACGAGAAATCATATATATATATATATATATGTGTGTGTGTATATAAACAAAAGACAGATAGATAACGTTCCTATTTGACCAGTTCAAAAAGAAGAGAATCGGAAGTTGACAGAAACCCATCGTTGTTCAATGTATTAGAAAAAGCAGAGCCTGGAAGATAGATACGCCCACGTGCCGAATTGGAAAATTCTTACGTGTATAGTTAAACCACTTACGTCCAGTGTAAAAAGTCAAAGGGCTCAGAATAGGATCATTGAGAATCAGAAAGCCAAGGTGATAAGCAAAAGCAGAGACCATGCTAGTCTATGAAATATATACACATGACATCAATGACGGAATATATATACATATATATATATATGTATATCTGGAAATAAACTCGCGCCATAGTGTTTAAAATGTGTAATCTTCATCGATCAAAAACTCTATCTGTTGGGAATCTGAAGGTGCTTGGTACGGAGTTTGACGACATCAACCTTAACGATGTGATGGTCGGAGGTGCCTTTGGAGGACAAAACAGAGTAAGAACCGGGCACGAACTTGTACGGAGACTCAGGCGATGCCATTATGTAGTCCACTCTTGTCCCGTATTTGCACGTCCCCTGCACATCTTCCATACCCCAAAAGAAAAACTACATGCATGATGCTAACTCACTATATATATATATGTATGTATATGTGTGTGTGTGTCTGTGTTCTTACTTTGGCCTTTTGCTACCACAACCACCGATTCGCACTCTCCTCCAAAATCCTTGGCGTCCGTGTACTCTTTCCTCCTCAAGTATCTCATCACTTCAGCTTTTGGCACTGGCTTACCCATCTCTTCATAATACTATACTAATCAAAGTGGCCAATGATGTTATCAATTTATGTTTGGTCAATGATTTGATTCATTGTATAGCAAAGGTTGATGTATATACCCTGACGATGTCGGACCATCTCTCGGGAGAATAGTCGGTTTCGTCGAGAGAATTGAGAGCACCAGCAAGGACGTGAGGTGCTCCGTTGGCGGATGCGATGACAGCATCAACCTGCTTCATCCTCCAGTTCTCATCCAAGTGATCAAGATGTGTGCAATGGAACTCCACTTCCCCCGTCTCAGGAACATCTATGGTCGCTTTCAGCACGTTTCTGCGTTCATGGTAACAATTGATAGAGTAAATGGGGATTGGTATCGTATGATAAAATCAAGAAACCATGGAGCGGGGTAAGTCCAAGTGGAAGACAAGCTGTCTGTACCAATTATGCATTCTGAAAGCAACGTAACAATTTATTATTTTATATTATTTTAAAAGCAAACAGATTTTCATGATCTTTCTCCCCCGTCGTAATGTGTATTTCGGGACCATACAATTTATCGCACCTCCCCACTGTGTTTAGACTTGCAATATCATCGATTTTATAACAATTTAATGATTTCAGATTCGTATATTTCACACGTAAGATCATGCATGTTAGCATTTAACACAACACGCATTGGAACTATCATTAATAATAACTGATTCGGCCGCGGATATTGGAAAAACTTGTCCTAATCAAAACGGAGACTAATATTATTTCATAACACAAAATCTGCAACCTGACCTGAAATCGGAGTCGTCGAAGATCCTGTGAACCGCGGACTGCTTGATCGGCCACTTGGAGAGGACGGCGTTCCCGTACTGCGGGGCCCAGCTATCGGCGAAGACGAAGTGCATGCCGAGCGCCGCCGCCAGATCCGACAGCGGCCGCATTTCGTCGGCCTCGTCCGCCTTCACGTCCTGCAGTGCCAGCAAGTCAGCGTCCACCTCCTTCAGCACCTCGAGGATCGTTCTCCTGCTGCTCTGGTGACTCTCGCCGGAGAAAGACACCATCGACCGGAGCTGCGGATTCAATTTTCTGCCGGAGACGTCGCCTTCGTCCTCCCGGAAACTCAGTTGCCGGCTGATCTCGTTGTCCGGCAGATTTATCGACACCCTTAGCTTCGATCCCGCGAATCTCTGTTTCCTGGCCGATAGATTATGATCACTCATGGGATGAAGAGGAGAGTTCTTGAGTATGCTCCTGGGACGATCAAGAGTTGACTTTGACCGGAGTGGTAAGCCCGTAAATTCGGCATCTTCGGGGTCAATGGTATTGGGAACGGCGGGGGCCATGGAGAACAAGGCGGCGTTGAAGGTGGCGACGCGGATGGGCCTGTCGGGTTTGGGGTGGACCGCCGCGGCGGAGGAGCCGTTGCGGAAGTGCGGTGGCGGTGCGGCCGGGGAAGTTGTGGATGAGTCTGGTTTCCGGCGGAGGCGGCGGCGGAGGAGGGCGATTAGGTGGAGCATGCCTGAGAAAAGGGGCATTGCTTTCAAGTGTTTAGTGATTGCATGAGGGGTTTTTTGGGCCTTGGGTTGGATCAATTGGCCATATCCCTATTGTTAATCATTTCCTTACAGAAAGCCAAATTGTTGCATATGAAATGAAGTTATAATTAGTTTAATTTTGGATGATTCGATGGGATTCTATTTAGGGACGAGAAGGGAGCACAGAGTATAAGAAGGGAAAGGAGGAGATGGGTCCGTGACACGTGGCGTATCACTTCTCTTCACATTCATATACACAAAATATTCGTGTATATATATATATTATTTTGGTAAATGATATTCGTATATAGAGATACCATATGATTATATTTAGATAGAATTAATATGACATCGATTTCCCCCCTATGTCCTCCAACGTGTGAGTGAAGAGTGAATTTCTATTGGCACGGGGAACCATCCTCGTAAAAAAAAAAAAAGTGAATTTCTATTGTGGGTGATATTGAATAAAGAAAACGATATATAATAATATGATTGGGATGCATATTTTATTTGAGACGAATGCAACGCCAGCGGGCCCAACTGCCCCCGAAATAAAATAACGAAAAAGAAAATACGATTTGCATGGATGGTTAGGAATTAAGATGATTGGTTATTTGTACATCATAATAAAGTAATATCGTGACAGAATTTAATAATTAAATTTAATGTACCGTCCATAAGGTATACGCACCACATCTATGGAGAAATATCTGTCTTTTCCGTTGGCCCCGTCCCCGCCCTCTCGTTTGATGCATGGAGACTAATTCTATTTCGATTAACTTTCACACTAGTTAATTTGTAAAAAAAATATATTCTTTTTTTTTTGTCGAAACTATATTCGTTGTTTATTTGCCCTTTAGACCAAAAAAGGTAAATTTTATTGCTACTTTTTTTTTTTATATAAAATATTCTCAATGATTTCTTGAATAATAAATAATTATGAAGACTGATGAGGTTTAGGAATCATTAACTAATGGAAGTCATAAAAAAAGAAACAAGAATGGGATCCAGTTAGTAAATATTAGAAAATGAATATAGCGTTACGTGTTAGGTATGTGTACAATAACGGAAGGACGTTTTAGGTCCGACTTCTGAGCTGGAGCGGATGTTAACACGAATGATGCCAAATTCAAACTGCGCGTCGTTTTTATTTCCCGGCCAGCTCCAAATAAACGGCAGCACTTTCTCCTCGGTTGTTTCCTTCTAGGAATGATCCTTCTTGGCTGGGCCGATTTCTCTTTCTTATAAAGGAATTACATCATATGATAAGAATGTGTAGCGTTAATTTCTTGTGGGGCGTCAATGGAATTGTTTATCCAAAATCTAGATTACTATACAGTTACGGGTACCAAAATATGAGATTTTAATATATGATTTCATAACATTATGGGTATTTTCAAAGAAAAATGGCTCTTATAAAATACAAAAAGAAAATATTTCATAACTTTATTCTTAATTTTATAAAATTAAAACAGGTCCAATAATTGAGTGGAAAAAAGTTCAATAATGCACTATAAATAAGGTGCGAAAGAAAAAAGAGAGTATAAATATGGATATGGACCTAGGTTCCATATGTCCGCTACTAGTGATTGGCCCATATTAATCACCGTAATAAAAGATTGGGCCCGGGGCGTGAAAACACGTGCAACGCATGGGAAAGCTCAAAGCCGTCACCAAGACCAAGGACCTTTACGATGACGTGTCAAGTGAGCCAGTGACGTTATCACAAGGACAAACTAACCAAACGCTGGGTGTTCTGATCGTCCGTGAACTGTAAGATGATTGCTTTGGCAGGAGTATGATTTTCCAAGTAAATGTCGATGTTCTTTCTCTCGTTTCGTTATATATAAATACACAACCCTTTAGGACATGTTTTCTGTAAATCACACTCGTCTATTTACATCAGACACCGGACAAAACTGTCCTCTTTTAAGGTCTATCTAACTTGTTGTCTGCCCTCCCGTGTGAGCCAAAGGGATATTGAGCTCTTTTCAAATGGGTTTATAGATCATGTAACACCAGCCATAACCTGTCCTGTCTCAGAGATCCGGAGTTTCCCCGCAAATTACACCAGACTGACTCTGCGTGTTATGTCTACTAGTCAGGCTTTGTATATTCCAACAGCATGTGCGGAGATCTGTATATCTTCACGAGCGCCCAGTAAAGGACTTCTTCAACTCCAAGCTCACCCTCTGCTCTCGCTGCATATATGTCTTCGCACATTGCTATCAATCTACATTCATACAGTAGTACAAACCTGTTAGTAAAATGATAACGGAATTTTGGAGGCTAAACGTCAGAAAATGTCACTACAAGACCCGGGAAAACTGGGTTTTGGAGAGTTTCAGCGCAAAGGCAATGAAGACACATGCCCAATATTTTCGCGGTCAGTATTTATTTAAACAGGCAACTAATTCATCAACTTTTCTAGTGATGTACGCAACACCGGAGCTACTAACTTCAAATCAGACAGAAGTAAAACTGAGCAAGCGATTGATTGACCACAAAGGAACGTTTTGAATTGGGGGAGAGTGAAGTGAGTCACCTGTCACATGAAGGAAGGTTCTCATAAGGTATTCTCATCCGAAGGTCAGAGCACTGAAGCCTGATGAAACGCCCAACTGCAAGCACAAATGTTATGTAGAGTCCCCAAATGCTGAATTTGCTGAGTGTGTCTCCCAGAATACCCTCTGCATGTACCGTCGTGTTGATATTGTTAACAAAAACAAGAAAAAAAAAATGGTTCATCTATTGAATTCGGCAGTCGACACAGAAGATTTTTTACTAACGTGGGGGTGTTTCCTCGGACATTATGATGGCCACTGGTCCGCCCATACCTTCGCATGCACTAATATTGGATGGGTGGATATCGTGGAATGACCACCACTTGAAATCTGCATGATTCATGACAAGTTCTGCACTGACTTCATCCTTCTGTAACAACATCAATAACTCTGCCTTTTTAGTTCATGAGAAATAAAAGGATCAGGATTATTAAAAAGAGAGACTGCAGGATTAATCACCTGGTCTTCAAAAGGCCTGACATCTCCAGAACCAGTAACACGGAAGTATTTTGGATACAGATTATATACTCTAAATCCATCCATAGAACCGTTCAGAACCATCTGGATATCGGATCGTTTCGGAAGATCCTGAGGATCAACACTTCTTTCATATTTCACAATTTCCTTACCTTTTGGTCTGTCTCTGTTAAGAACCCAAGAAAACGTGATATCCATATCTGTGTCCCAATCAAGGGTGCGAATGAATCTGTGCACAACTGTGTCAGGCACGACCCATAAGACGCTGGCGTCAGCTTGGCAGCATATAACCTGGATGTCATTCTTGTTATAGGTCGGTAGAAAGCCTTGTGGGCCGAGATCTATATCGATATTAACCCTATCCCATGATAGTTTCTCACAGAGGGTTGTCTGGTACAAACTCAGCTTCCCGCCCATTGTTTTGATATCTATCTGCACGCTCGCATCTTTTATTGGGTTGGCAACATTTGTTGGGTTACCACTGCTATACATCTGCAAAGGAGAAGGTTATCAGCATAAAATAACCAAGCAAAACAAAGAACCTCACTTTAAACATACTTAAACTCATTACCCTTTATCAATGCGCGAAACAATTATCACTCCTAACTACTCACGAAACACAGAGGGCAGTTTCGTTTTGGAATACTTTAATCATCTACATACTGGAAGCTTTATTCATCCAGTGAACAAGTTAATCATTTGGTTTAAAATAATGTTATCCCAAATTCCAAAATTTGGGCATTTATTCATGCTGTTTTCAAGGTGAAGAAATGACCACATAATCAGGCGAGACAGTATGCAAGCTTTTTGGTATCGTGTGAAATCAAAGTGATCCAACTCACCAAGCAGAAGAAGCTAAATATCCACCACCCTTTTGATCAGTAAACAGTGATAGTTAAAGGGCAACCAGTGGTATATTTCGAAAGGAAAAAAAGGTTTCGGATTGGCTTCTTACCAGCATAGGAGCCCAGATAACACAGATTAAGATGAAAAACAGACATATCCCGTTGCAACATTTGGTCATTTTTGTTTGCTTCTCCCCGGGTTTGTGTTTAGCCCTATACAGAACTGCATCACATTTCACAAGGTACAAACTTGCATTTACGTCCTCCAGCTGAAAGGGAGACAAAACCATTAGCCTTAGATATGCTACAGAAAAAAAAGGATAGAACCATCCATGACCACCACGATGTGGAGGACATTTAATTCACCTAGATAAAAAAAAATGCAGGGAATAGAACGACATTTTCAGGTCAACCACGGATTTCGACATACCTTGAGCCAGTCATACATGGTCAAGGATGTAGCTGTGCAAGACCAGTCAAGTACGCATCGCAATTCATACAAGAACGGAAGAGCACGGTAAAGCCTGTAGCCATAGTAATTGATCTGTGAAACCTCACTTGTCAAAAACTGCCGATACAAGGTGCTTTTATGTGGTAGTCCATGCCGAATTTGTATCGCCTGGAGAGCCAAGGACACTGCTTTGGCAAGAAATATTGCACGGAGAGCAAACCCAGCAGCACGTTGCTGGCTAGGGAATATTTTCCATGCATATTCTGTCACCGCATATGTGAAGAGAATGAGGCTGAAGAGGTAGAAGATAACTTTTCCCGTTGCAAATGAGCAAAGATAAATGACACGATCAACCATCATCAAGAAGAAGATGACCTGCCACCAGAGCATTTTTCATGCGGTTAGGATAGGAAGCTGGTACACGATGATAAGTGAATAAATAAGCAAGGAGGAGAATTGTACAAATGAAATAGACCTACCATTAGTATAATGACAAACTCTATTGGGAACTGGTCTTCAAGCTGATAAACATCAAGAAATTCGCTTTTATTTTTTATGACAGACTGGTAGAAAATGGCAGCCAAGAAGAAGACAATCAAATCAGCACCAAAAATGTAGGCATAGAGGTCTATTTCTCTCTTTCCTCCGCCAATGACAGAGAGGACAGGGTAAGGGAATCCAGTTTCTTCAACGAGTCCAGAACGTTGAGCTCTACGAATTTCCTTGGCCACATCTGAAGCAGGAGTCAATGACTTGTACCATTCTGCTGAAGAACACCTATTCACCGGAGAAGCATACTCAACCTCAAGAACAACCAATGCCTCATTTGGGCTTTCTGTACTTCTCTCTATGCTTTGTACATGTATCCTACTTGAGAAGGGGCAAAGATCTGGGTTCTCCTTCTCACATCTCTCATTGTGAACGAGTCTAAGCAATTGATTCATCCTAGATTCAATTCTTTCAGGCTGAATTCCATCTTCAGGCCACAAGTGAACATCCATTGTCACCTGGACAAAGTAAGGAGGAGATTCTGCTCCTCGTGTCAACGATATCCAGTATCGGCAGAAGCTTCTTACAAGCAACTTCCCAAAGTCTCCTAACTTTTGTAACACACCCACGATCCTTTGGCTCCAGCTGTATTTTATAAGAGCCTTCTGGTAATAACGGGTACTCCAACGCGAAGTAAAATCTGTTGAAGGAACCCAATCACCATCTTTCACTGTTATAGCACTCTGAATGAGAGTAAATAAATAGATGAGGAAAAGAGGCAATGAGCTGACAACAAAAGATGATTTTATTCTATGTGTAGGAAATCCCAACTCATGAAGAAGATCTGAATCAATGCTTAGCCCGCAGTGCTGGATTATAACTTGGTACAAGTACTGGACCAAGATATAGAATTCTGTGTAAATTAACATAATAACCCAGAAGATGTGACTAGGACCAGTGTGAACGCAGAGGGCATAGAGAAAGAGTGCTGCTAGATAAACCATGGAAAGCAGACTGAAGTTCCACAAAAAGACAATAATGAAGCAGCAGTAGCAAACGATGTCGTTATTAGACTGCATCCTCGACCATATATGTCGAAATATCCTTCCTAGCTGAAAGCTGGTAGCATCAGTACTCTTGTCGGATTGTAAAGAAGCTGAACGCTCCAAAGGTGCATGTTTTCTTCTCTGACTCTCCATCTCATCATACACCTCGTCATCGACAGAAGATTGCTCATTTGTATCTGAGTGGTCTGGGGAAATGTTCAAGAAATTCACAAGGTTATTAACAGCCTGATTTCCAATAGATTGAACCTGGGAAACACCATCCCCTATAAGTTGAACTGCAGAAATCAATGGATTATCTTTTCCATGAGATTTTTCTTCTCTTTTGGATCCCGTAGACAGGCCACCAAGATCATGTTGAACTTCAGTGATCTCACAAAGAGACGCTGCAACTGGAGACTTTGGGGAAGCAGGTGCATCTGGAGTTGTATCCATAGGAAATTCATGAACTTTAAAAGGAAACTCTGAATCCTCATCAATGTGTTGCTCTTCATTCCTTTGGTGCATCCCCTCTTTCTCAGGGCTGACCGGATCACTATCCGGAATTAGAGATGGACCACGCCTCCTCCTTAGGCCTTCAGCACGCGGAGAAGAAATTCCAAAATTTGCATCAGAATTCATTCTGTGAAGCTGTATCTGTAGGTTCAGCATTTCAGATTTCATCTTCTCGACTTGCAAGTTCCGCTGCCGTTTCTTTTCTTCAGCCTCCCGAATTTGTTGCAGTTGCTCTGTTTTCCATGCAGCTTTCTTCTCTTGCTCCCGCACAATAGCACCAATTTGCTCGGCCTCGAGATACCGTGAGACATAATCAAACTCTTGTGAGGAAAACATGTACGATTGAAGGGACACCAGCATAAAAATGATAATCTCGACAAGAGCAGATCTCGCAGTGATTCGAAATCCATAGTCATACTTGTAGAATCCAATCACTTCGTATATGTAATCAATGGTCTCACACTTTCCACCACTGAAGTTCCCAACAAACGGAGACTGATATGCAAGGGAAAAGACAATGAGAGCAAAATTGTATATCCGTAAGAACCTGAATATCTTGTTTTTCTTCTTTAGTATTTCCGATCGCATCCGGAAGAAAACAAGTGCGAATGCAAGATAACCTAGGTGCAGAATGTCATACTCAAGGGTCCCTGTGATTAGAATCAGAATAAGCACAAGATCCAGCAGATGGACATAACAATAAAGCCTTATATAATCAAGCACGGTCCACATGCTCTTAGTTTCGAAAGAGAGATCCCTCCAGACAAATAAATTTTTTCGTTGAGACATCATCTGACGGTAGGTTGATGACTCCGAAAAACTGGACATGTGATCAGCGCGAAGTTTGAAACAGGCAAGCATGAATACACCACAGTAGCTGATTAGAGTCCGCGGATCATCAACTCTCAATCCTGTAAAAGTGCATTGAAATTAAAATCTTTAAACTCAGTAGAATGTTTTGAGAAATCATTTCAGCCAATCAGATATCCCAAAGAAATCTAATCTATGGCATGTCAATCACTTCCAAAACTATTTTCCAGTTACTAATTTGGCTTCGATTGATCTTCCAAAATGTATCGAGCTATCTGCCTATTGATTGTAGACAGGACAACAGTTTTGTGGTTGTGTGGTTGCAAGTGACCCTTTGGCCTAATGCTTGGTTATGTAAAACAAACTTAAGCACAGAGAGAGTAAAAGAACCAAGTGTTACTCAAGAGTTTTGAAGAGACATACCAAGCCAACAGTCCCTGCAAAAGTTGAAATAGAGAGTTGAAATTCTCCAGCAGTCATGGCAATATACACCTGTCTCACTCGGAACATGATCTGAAGGTAATAAGTTCTTCCAGATAGCAATGTACTCCAATATGAGGATTGAAGCAAACAGGAAAACAACTACGGACCATAGTTTCTGTATAAGCCGTCTTCTCAAAAGGACACAGGCAGCAAGCAGTGCAATATATATTAAGGAGATGGCATTCAGCAAAGCAAAACTGGCGAGAAGCAGTGCAATCATGTTTATCTCAAGACCAAAGAGGTTGAACATATTCTCTATCCAAAATTTCAAGTAAATTTTCAACAAATTCATCTGCGTTTCAAACCTCTCCTTCCTCAATGTGAGAATTCTCCTTCTGTTCCATTTATGGCTCTCCTTGATGCTTCCCCAGAAGTATCCAAATGAAAACTTCCTAGAATTACTACTTTCAGAGTCTCCAGTCTTTGGAAACAAATGATCACTTGTCTGAGAATCAGTGGGAGAGAATGAAGGACAAGATTTGCTTGTTGTCTCGCGTTGTTTCACCGAGATAGCAGCATGATCTGTTGAGCTAGAAACACTTGCAACAGTGTCTTCTGCAGAGACAAATAGGGGGCAAGGCTCTTCATATTTTCCTATGCTGTTAGTAAAACCCGGTGTTCTCTCCAGCCAACGAGAAATATTGTACTGTAGAGTACACGCAGCAACAACCAGCACTTTACCTCGCAGGCCTGATTCTATCCCCCAAAATCCAGGTTCATATACACGAAGCCCCAAGAAGAAAGACAAATCAGCATATTTTTGCCCTGGAAACATCCCAGCTTGCATACCCCACATTTGGAAAAGATACTCAGCGGTCACTAGCAATCCCGTATAAACCAAAAATGACTTGGATGGGACTGAGGAAGACTTTGGGAAGGTTGAACTGATGATAAGTCCAAATAGATATACAAATCCAAACGCACTAATGGGGGACAAGGATGCATAAAACAATGCAACAAACAAGATCTTTTGACCATGCCATATCAGAAACCTTCTGAAAAAACCAACAAGTCCAGGATGAAGCAGACTGGACTGACCTGGGTTATTATGTCCACTCTGCCTTCTTTCATAGCTATAAAGTTGCATCACAATCAATACGGCAAGCGATTCCCAAACATTATCCACCAATGGTGCTTTGGAGTCATAACCCAGATAAAAGTAGAGATCGACGAATCTAGATAACCATATCTGGAAGCTTGTGAAACTACTTAAGCAATATATGAACACAAACACCAAAACTGCATATGCTTTCAAAGGAAACCACAAGCGCCTCTTAGTCCTCTCAACCAGTTGTCTTCCCGTAATCCAGGACAGTAGAAGGAAAACGTATCCGAATGATATATAGTTGGGCTTGACTAGATATACGCTAATGAGAATTGTGATGAAAGCAATGTAAGTTCCACACGACCGGTACATGGAAAGAAATTTCTGCCCAATTGCACTCAAGAATGAAGCAATACGTCTCTCTGTAAAACACATGCAAAGTAAGATAGCAGTTAGAAAATAGTTATGACAAGAAAATACAAAAGATAGCAGTTTGAAAATAGTTAGCATAAGAAAAAATAAACAATATAAAAATAATCTGCAGATGTTATGAAGAATGGGCAACTTTGATTTCATAGCTTGCAATTCCAACCTAGAGCACAAAGATACAAGTGAATAATTGCACCAGAAGATATAGTTATACATTAAATTTTATCTTGGGACATGATGGATTAGGTTCTCAGCAGCCATTTCATCCAACTAAACCTACAAGAGCAGATCAGTTTTCACATCAAGAAGATATAGTTATACACTAAGAGAAACAATACAAGGCTTCGAACGAAAACGTTGGCATCAAAATAAGAGTATCCTAGATGGTATGGAAACGGTCTTTGAGAAATATCATTTGGCCTGCAGAACACCAGAAAAAATAGATGACCATGACAGTGGGAATTTGCAGTTCAAGTACAAAATAAAGATGCAAACTGATTCCTCATGTAAATGTTGAGACATGGTTGGACTCACTTCAAGAGAGATCAAGGAAAGCATTATACCATAAGAAGTGTGATCCGGGCTATAACTTGATGATGGTGAAGTGTATACAGACAAAAGGACTGATTTGTTCAGACCAGCTTTCAGTATACTAAATCCGATTGGAGGGCTTGGTGTGTGGCGTACAATTGCTGAGAAGGAAAATAACATCTCAAAACCATGATTGTGGATGGCACAGAAGCAGGCAAGTAAGGCTATCTCTAAGAAATCCCAAGAGCTTTCAGATCTAAGGAGACCTGCATTCATCCAAACAAAAAGATATCAACGCGACAACTTCTCTGATTCCTTTTTATTCTCTAACATCACCATGTACAAGCTAAGAAATAAACTGCTTATACGGGAGATCAAACCTACATCATAAAAAAAAAAAGAAGAAGAAGAAGAGACATGTACCTAACTGAAACAAAATTTCTCTGCTTATAGAGCCCTTTTGCTTCAGAGCGTTTGCAACCAGATCAATCTCAAGGATATACAGAAGTGCGAAATGAACTTCACATAGAAGAATCAAGGACTCGCGTATCTTTCTGTCGATGTTGTGACTCAATAGATACATCAGAAAGAAAATCACTGCAGCAGGACATAGTGATAAATCCGTTAGGAGAATGGAGAAAGTACCTAGATCGATTTTTTTCCTGGACATCCAGATAAATGAATTCTAATTATAACAGAAAACACAGACAAGGAGAAAAATTCAGTGAACGTACCATACACAGCATGGGCAAACCCAGGTTTCATGGCAATGAGGAAAATTAATGCAAGCATAATAGCCCGGGAACATTTGCGCAGTCCCCATGCAATAGTTGCAACAACCAACACCTTTGTTTCTTCATTAACTAATGATAAGGCCAAAACAATGTTAATGACCAATATCCAGATTGAGTGAAAAGCATAACATATAAACTCACACGACATATTTAAAGAAGATAAGGAAAAACAAAGCCAAATAGGTTAGCCAGGGAAACAATTCTCTTAAAGCTTCTCACCTTCAATAACACATAGTGTATATAGATTTATTTTCCATCATTAAAAGTATCAGAATTCATTTCATAACATGTTCTGGATTGTGTTAACCCTTAAATGCAGTAGGTAGTTTAAAAGCTCGTTCAGATGGAAAAAGGAAAAAGTGCTATGGTGGCCAATGATTAATAAGTATACCCCTTTTTCCCCCCTTTGGGATCTAGCAAATGTGGAAGCCAAAAAAATGGTCAGACTAATTTTAGTCACAAGTCTAGCAAACAGAAACAGAAGAGGAATCAAGAACCCTCAGCCGTTAATTTTGTAGAGCAGAAGCTATTGAAGCCATTACCTTCAGCATGAGATCTGTCGACAAAAGATCTGGACCCCTCATCCGAAATGTAAAGAAAAACAGAGTTATTCACAAGATTGCCCAAGGCCACCAACATCCCCAAACCAAATTGCGCAAGCAAAAAGAATCCAGGTATTGGATAATGCCAAAGTCCCACCATCTCCCAAATCTCCATGTCCTGCATGTTATTGTCTTTTCAGCTTAGTTTTTTTCAAATTTTAAATACTGGAAACTTATGTAGAAGGAGATATTACCTTTCCAACCTTAGCGTTCAGAAAAGAAAATGCCACATTGAATATGTATGTACTGACAGCCCATAAGAGTATAAATACAAGAAGCAGACCATTTAATCTATGCATCCGGAACAGTGATGGGAAGGCATAGATAATATAGCCAACATACGCAAGGAGCCCAAAAGCACATACACTTGCAAAATGAAAACTCCAGAATGATAGAGCAAACAGAGAGACCTGCAGCCATTCAGAAAGAGAAAAAAAAAAAGGAGTTTCCTGAATAGAGTATTTTCCTTTACCTGAGACTTAAGATGCTGGAAAGTTTAACAGACAACAAAGATATTCACAAAAATATACCGGAAATCCATATGTGAAAAAATTGATGCTGAAAGTCCTAAATACTGCTCCCCTCAGTAAAACGTTGGTGTGCCTCACACCAGACCTGTAAAATTAGGAAGAAACCAGTAAGATCAAGATTTATTATCAAACAAAAACATTAAATTTGAGCATAAGAGCTACATATGTTAGATGATTTATCTTGCTCCATCACAGCTCCAGAGAAAAACCATTTCCACGATGTGGTTGAAACTAATAACAGTCATATTGTAAAAGGGATAAGATTCTTTTTCCACTCTGATATTTTTAGTATATAAGAAAAAAAAAATTGCTAACTTTTGATATCACAAACTATTCCAGTATATAAGCTTTCAGATACTGTTAAAACCCAAAATTCCGTAGATTTAGAGGCTCCCTTCCATAAATTGAAATCTTGGGATTCCTTTCTTTGCGACTTGAACACTACAGAGAAGACAAATATCTTGCTTATAAAACACCAAGAAGCCCACAAGAATTCAACAGACTCCTCGATTTTTCGACTATAACTTTTATTAAACTGCTGAGGGTGAAAAGAAAAATCAAGGGCCTTTTCAGTTATTTCTTAGACAAGCACAATATTCATATTAATTACAGATGGAAAAGTAGATACTGGTCTACAACCATACAACTGAAATCCCAAGCAAGCATATTAAGCCACGTCCTTCAATGTCACATCATAATCAGGTAAACCAGAAAACTAGGAAGGGAGACATTTTATCAACATTTGAAGGAGAATCTACTAAATTTGGGATTAAGGCGATGTTGATGTTGACGGAGAATCTACAGCAAAAAAATAAATATTTCAAGCTTTTTACCTTGATTCACGGATGAAAAAAGGATACTTCGGAGGAAGAAGCCGCTCTGCCAAGTTACTTTCTCTCATAGACATGATAAAGTCCATGTCTTCCAGATCTGACCTTACATAGGATATCTGCAAAATGAGGTAGACAGGATATCAAACTGTTGCAAATATAGGTCATACATAGATTCATAGTTCATTAACAGGCCACCATAGATAATGTAAGCAAGAGGAGAGCTTTCACAATGTTTTGTTTCAGTAAGCTCGATAGACTAATAATCCGCTATCTTATTCAATTCAAAGAGAAAAACCATACTTGACTGTGCAGAAAACAGTTTGACACATTAGTGAGGTTGCAAAACAACTATTAAGGTCAAGAAATCAGAGGAGAGATTTTAGTCACATCGCATTGTCTCTGTTATTGCAAAACGATATCATCGTCTTTTATGCTTTTTGCAAGAGCAAGTAATGCTAATCCTAGCAAGTTCTTAGATATACCATGATGAAGAAAAACACAAGAAAAAGTCCAGAACAGATCTCAGTGCCCTCAGTTTCTGCAGAGGTTTTGAATAGACCGATGAAGCTCGCTATCCATCCAATCATATCTGAAAAGTTTGTCGGTAGCTGGTACAGGTACAGCAGGACGATGTTGAATCCTGCATAGATATAAAGAACTCTCCACCCCCTAAAAAAATAAAACAAACAACTAAGTTTATAAAAGTGTAAAAGATCATGGTAGGGGAATGTATTGTCGTAATAGAAACAATCACTTAGCCACCTGAAAAGTCCTGAAAAGTTGCTTGACAAGGACCAGTCCACAAGTCCAACACAACTGCCAATAAAAAATGGCAGAGAAACCCATGACGGATTGCTTATTCCTGCAGCCAATTGAACAGCAGGAAGCAGCAAACAAGACGCAACCCTAAGATGACTTCCTGTGTATCATAAAAGATCAACACAATTTCAACCAAGATGCCCAATGAACTAGAAAGAGATGTTGCATATCCTAATCAGAAATGGACGTTACTGAAGGCGATGGGCACAATATGAGAAAGAATACAGTAACTACATGAATAAGCCATAAAGGCCAACTGAGTTACTTACAAACCTAGCTGTTCAAAAATTCCTGAAAACTCAGACCAGAATGTGTCCCGCCATCGAAAAAAACCGAATCTACTACTGTATATGTCAGCTAGGGCAACAAGCAGAGTTAATAATTGCAAAACCAGGAATAATATTACAGTTGGGTGGCTCCAAGAGTGTAATCTGCATAAGCAAACAAGGAAGAGAACGATATCAGGGGAAGCAAAAAGATATTATGCAATAAAATTAAAGAATGAGACTGACTCTTACATCATAAGGCCAATGACTCTCGCCCAGCCAGTATCTGCTGTACTCCACTCTTGACCTGCTGCAGCCCATATAACAAGGTATACCACTTGAGCTAGAATCACGGCAAAGGAAAAGATGATAATGGGCCATAATAGCCAGAGCCTCCTCTGAAAACGGTATCCTGCCAAAAGAAAAGCAGGAAAAATGCAAGTTTGGAAGTGAACAGCATCATCTAAACAGCTATAACAGAGAGCATAACCATTTAAACCAGAGGCTAAAAGTATGCTCATGGAATCAGAGACGATAAAGCTTGAAACAAGTAAGGCAGGGAATTGACAACATTGTCTTACCGATTTCAGGAGCAATATAGTGAACGAGGAGAAAAGCTAACAAATTAACAAAGGAGATCAAACTCCAGTTAATAAGTGCAGCTGCAACAAAAAGGAATCCGTTAGACAAAGTAAAGCTTGGACTACTCCAAGTAACATCAATCTCTTTGTTGTGACACACACTATGTATGGCCACAATCTAAAAAACTGGCAATAATTGAACAAACCCCATGGACATACAAGAAAGAACTAAGCTTTCAAAGCAACTGTATAGCATAGATAGCATGATCTACACAAATTATACATTATTTTCATATAAAGACAGTGCAGTCACCCAAATCAGTAATCTTCACGGGTTCTTATAAATGAAAAGGAAAAGGTGATTGCTCACACTCTGGACAACCAAACCAACCATAGTTCGAGTAAAGCTAGAGTTACCACAATGTCCTCCTCACCTTAGGACTAGTTGAGGCGTCATAGTCAAAAAGTGTCAAAGTATCAAAAGAACCAATCAGAGAACAGAACATTCATTCGAACAAAAACCTGAACGGGGATGTTTCTATGGAAGAACATTACGCCGATTCCACAGTTGGGTAATATAAACCCAATAAGCATATTGGGCACCGGCAATCCATCAAACTACGACCTCCATGGCAAAATGCAAACTAATCGAGCTAATTGTTTAAATCTTCAATCATGAAGTGTGTCTCAAAGGAAATCAAAATCAATGTAAGAACACAGACGTACCTGCCAAAAGCAGCGAAGGCAACAGGAATCCCACCAAAAAGTTCGCCATGATCACCTTTCCTTAACCATCCCCATCCCCATCACCTAACTCCAATCGAATTCGATAGACATCTCTGCGGTTTCTAGGTCGATTTTTCAGATAGAAAGAAAACGAAACCCAAAGTAAACCAACCCTTCAGCTCGGCAGGGACAATCACCGGGAAAGAAACCAATTTTTTTCCGCGACGAAGAAACCAAATCTCGAAAGCTTCCGAATTTCAAAATTCAAAACTTCGCCCAAGAAGCCAGCAGCTGAAATGGTCGCGTTATTGCGTGAACATACGAAAGGGCTTCGAACGGGTGGATCCAAAATCTAAATCCGGAAGCAAAATTCCATATGAACGGACGAATCAAATCGTGCCCAGATAACTTCGGCAATAATTTACGTCATTAGACAAATTAACAATTATCGCCTTCCAGCAGTATATACGCATGGGCACATGCCTACATACATACACACACATACTGCGTATATATGGTATTTTCAGTACATCATTAAACCAATCGTCCACTCCGAACCGGTATGGTGTCGGTTGTATTGATTGCTACAGCATTGTTGAACGCGTATACATTTTTATACATTTTTTCAACATAAAAATCTGTTAATACCTCCATGAAACCATTACTTTTCTACGCTAAGTATGTATTTAATTCGCTTGATCCGAAGAAGAAGTTACTGATACCGATATTTGGTTAACGATGGGTCGGAATTGTTTTACCGGTTCGGTAAGGTGATCGAGTCCCCTCGCTCGAACCCTACGGCGTTTTCGTGTCCACGACAGTAAACACGACGTCGTTTTGGAGCCATCATCGCCGTTCCGTATCAATCATGGGTTGATTTCATTTCTCCGTGATAATCGGCCGGAGGGGGAAAAGAGGCATTGTAGATGATGAACTGTACTTAATCTCTCGGTCTTTGTGCATCCATGGGGTTTCGTCGATGGCTCTTGTTTCCAACACGAATCTCAGTGATGGGTTTCGCCGTGGAAGATGTCGGACCGGAAGCTTCAGGGTTTGCGCGAGTTCGGAAGATGTAGAAGCTCTGGCGGCTGTGGAGGAAGCGAAGGAGGAGCTGAGACTGGAGGCGGAATCGCCGGAAACTAACGAAGCGAGCGTCGGTCCGCCGTCTTCTTCGCTTCTGTTACTCGGTAAAGACCTGAAAAAGGTGCGATTTTTTTTTTACCAATTTACTGGTTTTCTCTTTTCTTTTATGATACCGAATTAAAGATTTCGCATTTGGGTCTGTATGCATTCAGCGTGCGGTTAGGGAGAATTGAATTTGTTTGGTTTTTGGCGATTTTGAGCTACCGTTTGCCAAGAGGTCGGATGGCATGATATTGATAGTTGAGATGCTGAGATAGTCTCACTAATTGCGTCTTTGTGTATCGTAATTTGAATTAGAGCAATTGCTAAGTGGTTTCTGCACAAGGGAATTGCATTTAATCGAATCTACATTGACATACCTTCCTCAAGTCATACTGAGCTGAAGAAGATGAAGGAAGCTGCATTTTGTAATGCTCCTTATGAAAATAGATCCAATGAGGAAACCTTGGTGAAGATGTTGATTTATGGCAAAATAACTAGTCAAGTCTCTTGATTTAGTGATGGTTGTACAATCCATGAGAGATCAATGAATCTGTCTAATTTGAAAGAGTTCTGATTTGGCATTTGTGAATGGCAAAAGTAATGCTTGGAAATTTGAACTGATGGCTTCAAAGAATGGAGTAGGAATCTTTGGATCTTATGATTGGACGGCAAGAACTTTTGGCTTTTCCAGTATCTTATGGTAAAAATCTCTAGGAGTATTGTCTATAGAGGAAAATGGAGGTTCTTTTTATCCTCTTCCTTGGCATGATTCCCCATTCAGTGTATCTGTGTGAGTAGAGCATGGAGTATGAAACATGTACTGTCAGGTACATAAATTTGAGCCAAACAAACATGAACATTGCTGTAGGAGTGAAGCTATTCTACAACTTTGAGGAACATTCTCATAAATCATAGAAATCTGGGATTACGCAAATATTTGTCAAAAATAGAAATACAGGTACATTATGTTATTGTCAAGAATGCAGCTAATAAAGTAAAAATGTGACATTTTGTGGCTGAAACAAAAAATTCTCTAGCCATGTGAGCTAGAGAACACTTATTTCTTTGCAGAAGAGGCCTTTGCCTTACCGGGTTCTCCCGTTCCATATGGTGCAAGAAAGAGGAGGAGGAAGAAGAAGAAGAAAGGTTATGGCTTTGGTTCTAGGCTTTTTCTCATTTTCTCCTTTCTACTTCGGATAAAAGCGTCTGATTGCTCATTAATATTTGAAACCACACTTAGGAGTGGCCTATGGTGCCTTTGAGGCTTTGATTTCCCGCTGTCAGGCAGAGCCACTGGCGGCCTTGAGCTTGGCTCACTTACTATGCTTTTTCCTTTCTCATTTATTGTAACAAGCTTGATCGGCGTCTCTCTTCCTGCTTCATAGCGGGAAGAGCCGAGCTTGTTGATTGGGTTGTCATTTTCCTCAGAATCTTCGTTTTGTTTGAAATGAATTATGATATCAGACCTTGAGTCCTTCTTGCTCAGTTTGTTCCTTGCAGAACCGTCTTCTCTTGCCTTATTTGACACCAGAATCTCCTTGCTTTGTCCCGACGTCCCTCTCCGAAAGCGTCCTGCCATGAGTTTAGCCATCGCCAGTTGAAACAGCCGGCGGCAAATCCCAGTAGGCTGCAGGTATGAACTGTTATTGTCATCTCTTCTCTGCATTCTGTGCTACAGATTTTTTTTTCTGGATAGTTCTTGGTTTGAATGGATGGGATATTAGTGTAAGTGAAGAACAGGCAGGGGGTATGATTGGTTTTGCTTTGATTCTACGCTTGGTGTAATGGAGCCATAGTAATACTCGGTTCTTGCTTTTTAACTATAGAAGAAGGGAATTTCCACTCTTTCTTTTTCACTAGCTTGCTTTAAGCCTTTGACAGAGAGAAGCAGATGGACAAATCTTGAGCAAATTTTCGTCCTCAGAGAAGTAGAAGCTGGGAGATCTTCCATTGGATATAATCTGGGAAACTTCTGTTATCAACAAAAGCATGTTATGAAATGGTTCTTGGTGTCTGGAATTTTCAAGAAGTGGGGTCTAATGTCTAGCTGGTTAGTGTTACTTTTCCCTGCCTTTTGTAAGTTTTTCAAGATTCTGAGCATGAATGACATGAAGCATCTACGTTAGATTCTCCCCCGTCACCAAAGAATCTTTCTTTCGTTGAAAACCACCATTGCATCGATTTGGTCTCATCATTGGCATTGGAGATGTTCATTGTGCAAAGAAAAGGAGAATTGCAAAAACCAAATTCGTGTAAACTAACAACCTTGAGAGTTATTACTTTGCTTGAGGATACCCCAAAAAGAAAAGAAAAGTCTATGGGCTCCGTTTACCCTAAATTTAATTTATAGGGGGGGAGGGGGTTAGTTACGAGAAAAACAAGAAACCAAACCCAATCAAACCAAAAAGAAACAAGTATACAACCTGAGACACCAGGGAGGAAAAAAACAGAACCAGATTGTTCAAACACTATCTGGTTCAGTTCAATTTACTCACGATCTCCCACCGATGAGAGAAGACGTAGCCTCTGTGCACGGGGCGGGAGATGTCTCGCCGGTTTTCTTGGCGCTGCCTTCCACGGCAAGAAAACTCCGGTGCCGGCGTCAAGTCTCTTATGGTTCAACATGACGACCGGAGCACGGATGACCATAGTGGGCGACGGAGGAGTGGCAGCTGGTGGCCAGAGGCTGAGGAGGCCGATATTGGGGTTTGGGGAAGGGGGCTGTTGGAGATTGGGTTTGAGCTTGAAGAAAGTGATGGAGACTCTTTTGTTGGGAGATGGACATGTGACGTGCTTTGCCATCTCTGCGCTGTTTCCCCTCATTACCAGCAGCGACCTGTCCATATTAGTTCATCATAAGCTTCACTTCTTGTGGGGATTACATGTGTACTTAGTCAGTTACTTACTTACCCTTCCTTTAGCGACAGTGTCAACGACCCTCTGAAGTTGCCGTCGTCATCGACCCCTAGCCTGTGCCCGAAAACCATGGTTGATTCCGACAAGATCAGAGTGGAGATGGGTTGATCCACATGAGGTGGCTTTTGGAATGGCTGCGAGTGTTCTTCCTGCAGTGAGGACAGTCCTGAATCTTGATATGATATTTCTCCTAATATATAAGAAGCAGTAGGTATATATGCCTACCTCGTCAAAGAAGTCGATGACGCATCCGTTGGGTCTTTTGTATTCAGGGATCACCCGCCACTCCAGAAGATGATCGATCACATTCTGAAGAAGAGCCGGGATTGGTTCTATGCTACCTGAAAACGCCAACAACAGACACTTTTTTATTATATAAAAGGGCTGCTCTCAATATATATATATATATAGCCAAGTGCATATATCTAACGGATACTGAACGAGAAGATGTGGGGATTTACCAGAGTGTTCATCCTTGGCATGACCAAAAATGGGAACTCCTAGCTGAATAAGCTCTCTTTTGTTTCCCCTGGTGTTCTTGTTGAACAAAACGAACGTTTCCCCTGCACCCCCGTAGTAACGCCTGGATCAGCCTCTCGTGCGCACTCACTTGAGTTGCTAACTATTTTAAAAAAAGTACCTGACAGTTCCTGATTACGACCAGCCTCTCGGAGTTCGTTCACAACGTCCGACAGCTTGGAGAGTTGAGTTTTAGTGAAGGCATCTTCGTACAATCTTAACCCTTTCACCACGTTCACCTGAAAATTTCACAAAACTGATCTTTTGACTAACGACGAGGACCCAAACTCATCACACGACTATTCCATGCATTTCAATGAGATATATATATGATTTGTTTTCCATAGCGATGATGAGGGCATGCTACCACTAAATCTTTTTAACCTTTTTTTGTTTTGTAGTCACTATACTATCAAAGTATCAAATCTCAGACGTTAAAAGGCACTTTTCTCCGTATGGACCACTCCCAGGGCCTCCGAAAACGAACCCCGATTGGTGTTAAGTGAGAGGTGATGACGGGAACTTGCCCTATGTCCTCCGACATGCTCCTTGGCCGCAAAACGCTTTGTCAACTTGACGAGTGACTCGCACTCTTCCACGTGATTCGAACATACCGTAATATTCTCCCCCACGTGCTCCTCTTCTCCACATCCTACTCCACTCGAGTTAGATTCATGCAAGAAAAAACCACATCGAGTAATACGAATGTCAGACCGCTTTGATTACGTCATGTCAGTATGTTGTGCAGAAAACCATAAAACAAGCAGAAATCGGGACTACGTACGGCCGAGATGAAGGAACAGGGGTCCAAGCCCTGACGTCAACTAAAGATCGAAACCGTATTAAAGCCCACGCCTGGACCCCATCTCACGTCAACCTCAAGATTTTTGGAACATCGAGTAATACGAATGTGTCAGACCGCTTTGATTATGTCTGCTGCTTGAACAGTCTAGAAGGTTTTTAAAAATCTAAAAAGATCCTCGTGAAATTCGGGATCTCCTCCTGTGATCTCCCTACTTTCTCTTCCACTTTTTTTTTTTTTTCTGACCAACCGAACAGAAACATGTTTCTCTTCTTTTTTTAAAAAAAAAGAGTATATAGAAATGCTATGTCAATTACTGATACTTGGAACTAAAATGTTGTACAGAAAACAAAAACCCTTAAAATTCAAGTTCAGTCGACACACGCTGTTCTTGAAAAGAAAGAAGAACCCACGGTGTCATCGTCGATCTTGAAAATGGGAGAAAGAGGAATACCGGATTCTGTAATATCGCTGCTGTGGGAATCATCCTCTGCATGGCCGCTACTTCCCATCGCCTTCTGGCCTTTCGCCGTGGCCGTCGCTTTTTGCAGCTCCGCCGTCACTTGGGCGATGGAGTGGTACGTCTGCATCTGAAGAAGGGGGATCCAGTTGAGCCTCCTCCGGTGGATCGCCGCCATCACGGCCTCGTAATCCGATCCCAAGGCCTGTATGAGGTGGCCGCACAGAGCATCGATGATGGCGTTCGCCGCCGCGAACTCCCCCCGAAGCCACGCGATCATCACATCCTTCGCCGCCGCATCCGACAACAGGACCGGGGCCCTAACATCTCGAGACGCCGCCGCCGGAGCTTCCGCCATCATAATTACCGTACGGCCTCTGCGTTTACGCGCTTTCTGAACAAGGCGATTCGCTTCTATGGGGAATATAACGAGGATGAAGGAGAAAGTAGATCGTAGCGTGAGGTTTTGATTGTTTGCGGATTGGGATGGAGAGGGTTTAAGGCATAATAAGCTTGAAAATGAATTTATGTTGTGCACCGAAAAAAGTATAAAAGCGTCGTAAATGTATTGGCGATATTATAATAATAAGAGATGAAGCGAGCGAGGAGTAGGCGGAACTATAAAATTAACACGCATATAATATATAGTTAGTCTAAAACGTTTTGTTTTCTATTATATAATATAATATGACTTGGAGGGGGGCGAGAGAGGAAGAGGTCGCGACCTAAAGAAGCGGAAAGGCGCACGTGGCTGAGCCTTTCACCTGCCGTAAAAGACAATCCAATATCCATCCACTAACATCTATGCCCCAGCTCACCCCAAACACCATAATTATTTAGTTTTGTTCTTTGGTGATTTATTATTGATAACCCATGTTTGCATATGACGCCTAACCCATCATATGTTTCTTTTTTATTTCTTTTTTGGTTAATATGTGACACAAATGTTATATCGACAAAATTAAACATAAATAGTAGAGCTTATTGCATGAATTAATGCCGATTATGTTTGGCATGGATCATAGTATATATATCATAGTTCAAAGTCTCCACATTTGTCATGCGTTTATTTTGTTGTGTGTGTGTGTGTTCCATCTGTCACCGAAAGGTCATCGATCTCTTCCCTGTTTCAGTGTTTACCTTTCAAAGGACATAGATGGCATATATAGAGAGAGAGGGAGAGAATAATTCAAGTGATGATACGAAGAAATTAAATCAAGGGCAAACTGACGTTGCAAAATGGACCAAACCAACATATGTATGTTTCGATGCGTCACGTTGTTTCATCTCCACCGTCCACTCTGCTCGTATAGCATCGTCTGTCAACTTTGAAATTGTTTAGTTTGTTTTTAATTCAAATGAAAATAAAAGTGATATTATTTATTAGCAAATTGTTTTCCAGCACTCAGCAAATTCGTTACGACGCTGCTGCTGTTAGAGACAGTTTGTGCCTTTGATAAACAAATGGAGTCAAACTTGTCTCTTGATAATCATGTCGGGTCTCCATCATCCAGAAACTGCTAGAGAAAGAGAGAGAAAAAACAAATAAAATATATAAAAATCAATTGGCCAATTACTAAATTGGTGTTTTATAAATAATTGCAGTCCATATTCAATTTCAAACTCGGAATATCAGACCGATATAGGAATAACCCACATTTGTATGATTGTATATGTAAGTAAACGTGGCTTTTGGAGTTCGAATATCAGACCGATATAGGAATAACCCACATTCGACCTTTCTTTCTCTAATGATTATTTTAATTAAGATCTAAAATCTCTTTGAGTAAGCAAAATATACAATGCGAATTGGCCAAATTAAGATGGAGCCGTTTTAGGAAAAGGGTCAGGTTTACGAGTTATTGAATTTTGCCTTTATGCCATATTATATGGGCCGTATCTAGATAATTATATGTCCATTAAGAAAAAAGGGGCAACAGATAGATAATTATATGGGTCGTATTTGCTCCTTATAATGGACCAATCTACTCTCTGAGGCCCATAAAAAATTGTAATTTCCTTGGGTTTAAAAGCCCAAATAACTGAACATAGCCCGAAAAATGTACTTGCACGATCCGCATGCATGCATTTCATGCAGCATCCACGTTTATACACAACAGTGCAAGTATTGAAATGGGTCTATAATATATTAGTCTTCAGGTGGAATTTCTTCCATGGTCCACCTTACTACATTGGTATTTCCTCAGTCGAGAAGTGCCTTCGAGGTTACAAATTGAACCGAATGTATAGAATTGTTATAAATAATAATGCAAATCAATATTATATTTTTTTATCAATACAATATATGCGATTCAAGTATACTTTTTGAAATAAGGAAAGGAACACACAGGGAAAATATGAATGTTAGCGGGGCACCGCTTTTATTCAACAACCAATCCATAAGCCATCAAACAAAACACCAATAGCGGGGAGTGTCCTTGGTTGTTTTTAACTAAGAAGGTGCCTGAGCGAATCGTGATTGGAGTTTCCATTTCCGAGACTGGAAGTGGCTTGGAGCTTCATCTTCGCTTTCTCGATGTACTCAGCGAACTGATCTCTGCCACTGTCTTTAGAAGCAGAGACAACAGGTACATGAGTTTCGGTATCAGTCTCCGACGCATCAGCGTCCATAATGTCCCCAAGATTCGTCATGGCTCTGATCCTCAGCTTCGCTCTCTTTATGTACTCATTGAACCTCTCGTCTACCTTCACCGTCTCAACTCTTGCGACCGTCTTCTTCTTCTTCTTCCCGCCGGAAGTTTCCATCTTTGAGATGGGTTTGGCGGCCTGAGCCGATGCCTCAGCGAGCTTGGCTTGAACAGTTTCCGGGTTCGGTCTGATCTTCGTGGCACTGCCTGAGCCCTGGTTACGCTTGGAGACGCGGCGGTTGGTTCGGAGAGGACTGGTCACAACTTTGAAGATCTTCTCGCACGCTCTCTCGTCCTGCTCCCGATTCTTCTTCCGCAAGTTGTTTCCCATTGATTGCAGACGCAGTAGCAACAGAAAGAGAAAAAGTCTACAACTTTTGAGATATGAAGCAGATGGGTGGATCTCGGTGATGTGTGCAGAAGTGGAATGATGGGTTTTATACTGCAAAACCTGGGTTTTAAAAACGCAGAAATGATGACTGGAGCTTGGCGTGTGGCGCGGTTTACGTGTTTCAAAGAGAGGAGAAATCGAAAATTTCATGGCTTTAGATTCTCCAGAGGAAAGGCAGAAACTTTGACAAGTTTTTCAAAAAGGATAGCTGTGTTTGGGGATCGTATTCCAATAGAGCTCCGTTCGTCGTCGGGTGGGTGTAGATTCCTCTTGTTTCAAAAGGGACGGAATCAGAATTGACAGCAGCTGGCAACTTTACTGACTTGGACAAGGAGAAACATTGTTAGTTTGATTGGGTCTTTTAGGCTCATCAGTCGCCATCACCATTCACCAATACGATTAGGGGCTTCTTTATTCTACTACATCCTCTATTAGGTCTCTTTCCATTTGCTTTTGCCTCCCATCTGGATTCCGGGAGGGATATGCTTTATTTGCTATTTTTTTTTATTTATCTAATTAACCATTTATATTTATATTGAAAACAATGTATTTTTTATTTAAGAATTTACCCAATCTACCAAACAGTCGGGTTTATGGTACTCGTTAATTTCCATACATTCATTTAGCTCTTTAATCAGCACCATTCTATTATTTTTCTGTTAATCCTCTCTGTTTATCGAGGCGGGCTCTCTATCTCTCTCTCTCTTTTTTTTTTTTAATTTATTTTTTCCAATAGAATTATGTGAGATAATAATATCAATGATTCTTTGCCATTTCAATGGAAGAAGAAAAGTAAAAGAAAGACTATAGGAGAAACAAAAAAAAAGGCCTTTTTTTTTCTCAAAAGCGTGGGTAGTGCATATGTGGTGAAAGGGCTCCGAAACGAGGAGGAGGGTATGGCACTGGCAGTGGCCCATTCATGGCCTGCGGCGGAGGATACACTGCAGGCGGTGGTGCGGGGGCGAAATGCCAGTTTCTGGTTTCCATCAAAGGCTGGACCTTTGGCTTTCTTGGTTTCATGCCGAAGCAGCTCCTGAGAAGGAAGCAGTGGCTCTGAGGCGGAGGGTTCTCAGGAACGTGACTCATCTGATGGCCCCTGTCATGAGCAAATGGCTGATTGTTCTGCACTGACACAATCTCCGCATTTCTTCCCCATTTGTGATTTCGGCCCCATTTCTCGACCCGACGCAGCAGCCTCGCCGGGTTCACCTCTCCTTCCACTCTTATCAGCCCTTCTTCATTGCACTCCACTTCCCTCACCCCTGTTCCAATGCCACCACTTTCACACCTCTTAATCGACCTTAATTGATACCCATATCATACACCATCTCCCACCTTGTGTGATTTGTATCTGACTAAACAAACAAAACAAAAAGGAAAATCACCAGGGACACTCTGCAGCTTTCTCTTGGCATTGTTTCGGCAAGCATTGCAACACTTGGCATTCACTCTTAGAACGCACGTCTGCATACCCAAAAACTCATCAGCAAAACCACTATATAACAAAAGAAACAAAACCCAACAGAGATTAAAAGATTACGCGGGTGGATGTGTTTGGGATCTCCATTGAAGAAACTTGGTGAAAAAAAGAGGAGACACGATGATGGCATATAAAGTGCTTCTGCTTTCCAAACTTGGCAGGAACGTTTCGATGTTATGGTGGATCAGCATAGCATCTACCGTTTCCAAATCTGATGCGTTTGCTTGATTCTATGCATCCTGTGGGGAGATTCAGGGAAGTAATAACAAGGGAGGACTCGAACTCTTTCC